TAAAAAATATAAAAAGAATTAAGACTAACATACTGATTTCTAATACAAAAAAAAAAATAATTATAAATATGCATCTTAAGTATGTTTTAATTTATCATTCGCTAGCTTCAATTGATATAGGACATTTATTAATTTTATTATTATTATTATTATTATTATTATTATTATTTATTTTTTTTACTTTTGGATGGAATGTGAGCTATAAGCTTTCTTGTTGTGTAGTATTATCTTTTTTTTTTTATACGTAAAACATCATTCTTACCTCTTGTTTAGTTATTACAATACTAATAAAAAAAAACGAACTTTTTCAACCTAGATATATCTTTTTAAAAAAAAAAAGAAACACTAATTATCATAAGTTAAATCATAAATACATTGAATATGTTATATTTTGTATCACTGACAATAATTTTCAAAATAGTTAACTGCACACAATATTATATATAGTGCAAAATTGTTTAATTTGATTTGGAGTCACTTTTACTGTAAACAAATGATAAAATTCCAATGAAACATGTTACAACGAAATTTTAATGATTTTTTTTATAAGAAATTGCTTTGTGTGAATAATACAAATACATATATAGATGAGTAATGATAATATAGCGAGATTGTTTATTGTTAAAATTGAATTAATTTTCAAAGTATATAGGCATATCATGATTATCCATATATTTTTAATTAATTTATAGATAATCATATGATCTAAATTAAATCATGTTGCTCAAGTGGTATCCCATTCGACATGAAAATAAATAGTATGGGTTTTAATTTTATACAAATTCATAAAATTGTTCTAATCTTATTTTAAGAAAGGAAATTTAGTATATTAGAAGTTTAGGCTGCAAAATAAAAATTCAACCGTTCTCATACTACTACACAATTTATTCTTTTTTATAGGTTATTTTGAAAAACAAAAAATATTTCTATACTTTATGGGCATTATGAGGAAAAATATTATCGATTTCAATTTTCTTACTTATATAAGTTATAGTTTGTCTTTTATATTTTTATGATCTATTCTAATTTTTCGAATAATTATTTTCAATTAATCAATCACAAGAAGTACATTACATAATGGACAGTGTCAAATATATTGAAAGTTGAAAAAATAATATTTAAAAGTAATAGTGAAAAAGGTTGCATGAAAATTTTGGTTGAGAAACCTTCATTATCTAAGTTAGTCTTGTTTATTCGAAATCTTTTTTGTTTGGGGAAGATTGACAAATATGAACAGTAAAACTAAATTAAAATCTTTGACATGAATAATTGCATATGTTAATTTACAATTTTGTCTTCTTATCTTGTTGAAAGAGACCATTCTATGTCATTATAGCAAAGTTTTTATATATTGTTCATATTATCTTCTCCTTTTCCAGTAAAATAGTTTTTGTATGCTTTTTTTTCTTCATTGGATCTTATTAATTATATATTTTCGTGAGTTATAAATATATATTAATATTCAAGTTTTGGTTGAATTTCAAATTTTTTTTTTCATTCAAATACTATTATATTTTTCATGAACCATTACACACATATGGTACACAATTTGATTTAGATTTCAATCGTCTTAAAAGATAATTTAAAAACATTAAAGCAATTATTTGGTAAATTGTATTGTTTTTTTATTTTTTGCTTAAGAAATAAAATTGATTTAAATTAAACATTCATATTATGTATAATTAGCGATAGTTTTGGCCTCCATGTCACATTTAATACTAACATATTTGTTATTAATAAACTTATAAAATTAAATAAATATTGCTAAGAAATTTATCTTATATACTTATGGTTAAATAAACTCTTAAAATTATTGAGAAAATCATAAAAATATTTACAAATCTTAAAATAATGTCAATAAATAAAATATTTAATATACAAAAATTTGAATTATCATTGTTTATAGAGCACTCATCTTGAAAATCAATTGCTCATGTGAAGCAATAATATTTTATATTAGTTTTTCCTTATCTATCATACTGAACGCGTTATTTATTTATTTATTTTTTATTTTTATTATTTTTTTTTTGGTACAGAGATCCATTGCTTGTCTAAATTTTAAAAAAATGAGTATTTGGTAAGGTAATGTCATAATTTTGTTTTTTCTGTACACTAACTTAACATTTTGATAATTTTTAAAAGTTTGTTCAAATTTTAATATCATTGAAAATCTTATTTAAATAAATGTAAAATTTAACATTTTGATAATTTTTAAAAGTTTATTCAGATTTTAATATCATTGAAAATCTTATTTAAATAAATGTAAAAGTTCAAGACAAAAAGTGAAAATGGGGAGTGACAAGATATTCAAAAGGGAGAAATTTTGATAAATAGACGGCATTGATAATTGGGCGAAACCAACATACATAAACCCCAAGATCTAGAATGTGTTTAATTAAAAAATATTAGTATAGAATGGGGGTATTAAATTACAAAATTGACATTATAAACATGACAAAGTAAGGTTAATTTAGGGATATCATATTTTTACAGATTCATTGGCTCTTTTATAATAGTATAGATCAGTTAAGTTCAATCTCATATTTTTATTTGATATCATCATCAATATCTACTTTATGATGAGTAGATAATACTTGAAAGTAAAATCAATTGCCATGACCCAAGACCATATGAAGGAGCAATTATGAATCGTAAAGTGAGTTAAAAATCATAACTTCCAATTTAATTGAAAAAAATTAGCATAAATGTAGTGACAATTTCAGTTAAGAGGACTCCAAAATTTTGAGTCGGAGCGATTTTATTCCAACCGGCCAACGGTCGCTTGTATGTCGTAATTTTATTCCAACGGCCGCTTGTATGTCGCTCTTTGCGCTTGGTGAAAAACTATATTATTTTAACATCGGTACTTGTTAAGAAAATCCAGTTGAGCACATTATTTTAGTGGAATTAAAATGCAACATGAGTACTTGTTAAAAAAAATATTTACACAGTAAAAAAAGACATAAAGTAACTATTACTCTCATTGTGAAATCGTAAAACCGACACAACTACGACCAAGAACTGAAATTACAGCAAAACCTTAAATTACATGACTTCAAGATGGTATATATCACCTCCAATCAGAACATTCATAATCTAATAGATCCGAAGGCTAGACTAGCCTCATCCATGTTGTACCTTTTAAGAAACAAGTCACCCTATACAGCTATTCTAAATCATGTCTAGCATTGGTAGATTGGTATGAGAATAAGTGAACCCCTTTGACATCTACGCTAAGTCGTGCAGGAATCGATTTGAACCGACGTTAATTTTGTCTCGAAATCACACACGACTCGAGATTGATATGTGAATTTTTCAGACCTTTAAACACAAGTCTATCATGGCAGAGTCTACCAAGACCATTATTTTCTCAACTTCAAATTACACAGCTTAAAAAAAACAAAGGAAAACAACTAATTCAACCATCAAAACAATATATGTGAACTAAGTTGCAGTTACTTTTTCTCACGAAGCAACAAGAAAGTAGAGCGAAAAAGTAGGCAAAGTCCTAAAACACAGCAAAACTCGGTCAAAACCCGAGTAAGAAAACCTAGAAAATGCCAGTAAGAAGATTAGCAGCAGTGGATATGGCAGCCCCGGTTATAGCGCACTGCACAATCTGTTCATGGGAGTGATCTTCCGTGGTCAACGCCAGGGCTGCCCCTGTTACTGCCCCAGCCAACGCGCTGTTTTTCTGCACACAAACGGGGGTAAATACGTAAAGAATTTAGGTCAGAATAAAACATCACGGCAGTAAGTAAAATACTGAGTTCTTATTTTGTTGCTCGATTTTACCCAGTCATGGACACCCCTAGCCTCTTTCAACCCATAGGTTAGACCCGAGTACACCCCAGCTGCAAGGCCTGCAAACATGATGTGTATTCACACAAATGCATAAAAAGAAGTTGAAAGCAAAATTTAAAAAAAAAAAATGTGTTACGATGCTACGTACCCCATTGCATGGATTCTTTTCCAGTACTCATAACCTGCAATTTTACAATTTTTTAAAAAATTATTATTATTATTATTATTCATTTTAGAAATGTTAATCTACTCCTAACCAAGAAATACTCAAGAGTAGGTCTAACTATAGTGAACCACTCGGTCGTGGCATTACACCAACAATGATGGAAGAATATAGCAGAAGACTTCAGTTGAGTACTTGAGATACAAGACGAGGACAGATGATATGGGGAACTTTACCAGGGCTTCCACTGACTTCCGGTTATTTTCTCCTGCATTTATAGTCGAGAAATAGGACAATGCCATCAGATTATATCAGAACACAATCAAGTGGAGTAAAAACTCGCATTAGTGAGAAATTTTAATAACCGAAAGTAATTTAATCACGTTAGGCTATAATTCGCCCAAACATAACCACTACACTTTAATCCGTCTCTCCAACATGCAACTTCGAAGCAATCAAATGGAGGATCATGGCTCACGGGAGATAAGTACCACACCATATATATATGCTCGCCAGTCGAAGTTATTTAGTTAAATGAAAGGAAATAAGTCGAGTCTTATCATACCTCTAAAGTCCGGAAACTGATGACGCTTTTTGGAGGCGCCAATCTCAGGGGCAATGGTACCTCCTGTATCTCCACTCGCACCTAAACCAATCAAAATTCATAAACTAACAAAACTATATAATCGAAAAAACGACCAACCCATCGACCCATTCACCCAACAAGCTAACACTTGAAAACATTGGTCGTGAAAAAACGGGAAAAACCACAATAATATTCAGTGAAGGACTCACTTTCCACAGCAGTGAAGTAAGCCTCGCGCGACACAGCTTGAACAGCCCCAATCTAACATGCACAAGACCAGTTTAACATCAATTAACATCGCCTCAATTCAAATAAATCCTCTGAATCTTACTGTCATGAAATTCGCTTATCCAAGAAAAAGTTCATATTTAGTAGGGCCCCAATCCGACATGCACAAGATACACAAATTTAAGGAGATGCTACGGTCCCCCTTACGAAATCATTCCGTCGGGGTTTGTAACCTTTAGATCAACTATCCTCAACGGTTTACAAACCCGACGAATGGTACGGTAACGGGACCGTAGCATTTCCCCACAAATTTAACATCAACAACCATAAACCCACTTCATTAGATCCTCAAAATCCTACTACTGTCATAAAATTCATCTGTCCCTAAAAAAGTTCATATCCTAATTTCACACAGCCAACACAAAGGTATTAATATCGAACTATCTCAACCATTAAACAACAAAAAATCAAATTTTTACCAAAATTGCTAAAACCCCTACACTCAGAAGGGCAAATATCAAACTATCTCAACCATTAAACAACAAAAAAAATCAAATCTTTACCAAAATTGCTAAAACCCCTACACTCAGAAGGGCAAATATCAAACTATCTCAACCGTTTTCATCAATAAAAATCGTATCTTTGCTCAGAAATTAGGGCATTTTCTTGAAATAAAGAAGAAATAAAGGTACCCACCCCAGCAGCTTTGATGAAGCTTTCAGCGATGCGGTTGAGGAGAGGGTGGCCGAGGTCGAAGAAGCCGCCGCTGTCGAAGCTCCTCAGCTCGTCGATCAACGACCGCGTCTCCAAATTGCTCCCGCTGCTCATCCTTGTTGATATGTTATTGTCAATTAAATTACTCTTTTATTTTCTTGTTTTTTTTTTTCTGCTTAGAACGAAACGATGGGTGATTACTATTATGGTGTAAAACTGTAAAATGGTACAGAGGATTTGTAAAAGGGGAAGCCGAACTATGTGGGCTGGCGACACGTGTCCACGTACGTACGCGCGTCGGCAGCGCTGCGAAGTTCGTGGCAGCGTTTTCGAATCGTGGGCCGGCTAACGTGGCGGATTAGGTCGGTTGAGATCCTACAAGAACGTGCGGGGGACACGTGTCATTTTTATTTTTTTTTTGGCGATTTTTTTTTAACATTTTGTTTTATTTTTAAATCGAATTTGAAATGCGTTTCTCAATTATATAATAATAATAATTTGAAGTTGTTATTATTAATTTATTTATTATATTTATTTATATTTATTTATGATCAAATTGAAATGGGCAATGCTATATGTACACCCCTTTTTAATAAATTACACAAAGGGCAATGCTATATGTACACCCCTTTTTTACACACAAGGGGGTGTACATATAGACACCCCCATTGAAATATACTAGTATCTTCACCCGTGCGATGCACGGAACATATTTATTAAAATAAATACATTGAAATATATATATATATATATATATATATATATCATAAAAGTAAATGACAAATAAATAACATTATTATTAGATAGTAAAAGTACAATATTATATGATAAAATTTTGAAAAATTACTCGATAGACAACATTTTTAGTAGTTTTCTTTTCCCCAATATCGTCCCCCCACATATTAAATATTTAATCCCTGTGGATTAGTGACTCGAGACCCATCAAAGTATAATTGACCATGACTAATAAACACGGGTCTTTTCATGTAAAGTCCGACATAGGATAACGACTGCTCTTGACTCTTGTTGATTGTCATTGTGTAAGAAAACATAAGAGTAAATTGTCTACGTTGGAACTTGAAGGGTATTTGAGATCAGATGGAGTTAGGGAAAGTCTTGGTACCAATACCTTATGTCCAGCATTTGATCCTGTTAGAATCTTACATTCAAACACGTGAGTGAAACGCTTCGATATCACCAAGCGTGTTCCATTACATAGTCCAATCGAATGGTCAATGTTTCTAAACAACATGACATAAGTCCCAACCTTTAAGTGCAATTCATGATTTGGAACACCATAACATTTTATACTATTTAAGAACTCCTGAGTGTGCATGTCATGCAAGAAATCAACACCACCATCGGATTTGAATATGAGAGAACAATACACAGATTTTGAATATGAGATTTATAGCGTGAATTACTTATATTCTGTCCTCGAGTATCTTGGTAAGTTTGGGTGTATTTTGTTAAGCATTCACCAATAATAATGCTTAATTTTTATTGACATTAATATGATTCAAGTATTTTGTTAAGCATTCACCGGCAAAATTTCATAAATGATACACTAAGTTGGCGTTGTCAACAAAACATACATTTTGTTGTCCCTCACGGAAAGGAAATATTTAGTTGACAATTTGGTCGGAAAAGATACTTTAATCACTCAACCTGGATAAAAAACTGAAGTAGTCGAATTAGATAATGACGTGACATTATAAATTTCTTTAATTTCCTACGTGTTATATACGTGGCGTTATGTGTCATCATTCTTTCCAGGTACACAACTACGCATACATAAATAAAAATAAAAATTATCCAAAAATAAATAAATAATAAAAACAAATCAGAAAAAATAAAATAATAATAATAATAATAGAAAAAAAAAATCCAAAGAAAAATAAAAAAAATAGAAAAAATATATTTCGTTCTATTTTGTCAACTATATTTTAAAAAAATATTTAAAATAATAATATTTTGTTAATATATATTTAAAATATATAGATATTTCGTTAATATTTAATTTCATATAAATATATTTCACTAATATATATTAAAAAATACTAAAACAAAGAAAAATAAAGTTCATTAATAATAATAATTATATATAATAAATTATACTATCTAATATAATGCTTTACATAATATTTTATTTATTTAATATATATAAGTATATGAAATATAAATATAAATCACAAGTATAAATTTATATTTAAGTAAATAAAAATAAATATTTTTAGATATATATTTTTGAAATAAATTAAAATATATTTTTAGTATAAATTTATATTTTGTGATTTATATTTATATTTAATACTTATATATATTAAGTAAATATAATTTATGTAAACTACTATATTAAATAATATAATTAATAATAAATTATATATAATTATTATTATTAACAAAATATTTTTTAATATATATTCGCGAATATATTTATATTTAATGAAATATTAACAAAATATTCTTATTAACGAAATATTAACAAAGTACTTTTTATTTTTTTAATGATTTTTAATATATATTAACGAAATATAATTTTAAAAATATTTTATTAATATATAGTTAAGAAAATAGAACGAAATATATTTTTTTTATTTTTGGATTTTTTTAATTTTTCTATTTTTTCTATTTTTATTTTTTTTGCTGAGGTGTCTTATATTTATTTTTTTTGGATTATTTTATTTTATTTTTATTTATCTATGTGTATTGTGTATTTTGAGATAATGATGTCACATCACGCCACGTATATAACACGTATGAAACTAAAGAAAGTAATAATGCCACGTCACTACCTAATCCGACCACGCCAGCTTTTTTATCCAGGTGAGGTGATTAATGTATCTTTTCCGACCAAATCGCCAACTACATGTTTCTTTTCCGCAAGGAACAACAAATATCTATTTTGTTGACAACGCTCAACTTGGTGTATCATTTTTGAAATTTTACCAGCATTCACCATTATCATGTATTCATCTAATAACTTAAATTAAATAGGTTATTCATAATAAATATTCTTTTTAACATGTTTTTGGATCTATGCGTAATGTTAGAATAAACTAAGACGTATGGTGATGTTAGCATAAACTAATAATGTTGCCTTAAAAAACATAATAATGACATATGTAGTGTTTATGATAGTAAATATATTTAAGGTATCAAGTGATTGGAATATGGCTGAGTCGATGCTATATATTTTTAAATATATAGTAAAATAATATTAATATATTTCCAATCATAATTAATTGAGTAAGTTAACTTATAATTATAATTTTCCATTCCTAAAATTTACCAATAATAATTGAATACGAATTTAGTTATGTTAATGTATTTTCCATAATTATTTGGCATTCTTAACAAAAATAATTAACCTTATAATTACAATTACCCAACCAAATGTAGAAATGTTGCCAATTATAGTCATTGCATATCATCTATATTTAGCAATAAATTCCATCAACTCCCTCTTTATATATATATAGACAACATGAAATCATGAACAGATTATTAGACATTTCATGATGATGAGAACACGAAGTTTCTATTTAAACTTTTAAGTGAAAATAATAGGTGAGATGTCAATAGTATGATGATGAGAAAATAAGTTCATAAAATTTAAAAGGCAAATATATAATACGACTTGTATTATATACATTTTTTTTTTTTTTTTTTAAATTGCAACCAAAAGAAATGCTTGTTGTAAATTAGAGCTTAAAATAATACATGAAATTCATATATCACAACCTACTGCAACTAAATTCACATAAATTGTCGACAAACTTCAAAACTCGTTGCAACCGAGTCGAGCGGCTCGCAAACTGCTCGAGTCAAAGCTCGACTTAATCTCAAGTTTGACCAAACTCGAATCAAACACGAGCAGCTCGAGCCCGAACTCGAGACCATATTATTCACTATCGAACAGCTCGTCGAGCGACTCGAATATATGTTAAATTACTAAAATACCACTTATAAATATTTCAATAATATAACACAAGTACTTAATGGCAATTTTACTTTTTGACTTAAAAAATTTTTAGCCGAACTCGAGCCGAGCTCGAGAATTTTGATTTCGAGTCGAACCGAGTCGAGCTCGAGCTATTGTATTTTCTTATCGAGTCGAGCTCGAGCCTCATAAACTGAGTTCAACGAGCTCGAACTTGAGCAGCTAAAAAAAATTCAATCCTACTCGATAAGGCCAATGATTGACTCGGCTCGACTCGTTTGCAGCTCTAGTTGGATATATATTTGCTGATTAATCAATTCTTTCATGTTTAGCCTGAAATACTTACTGCCATCATCAGCATTAGGGCTGAGCACGGGTCTTGGGGATTACCGAACCGTACCGAAAACTGAACCGAATTCACCCCGAACCGAAAAATATCCGTTGACCGTTTGACTATCTCCGAACCGAACCGAACCGAATTTATTTTCGGTACGGTTCTGGAGATTCATAAAATATCCGTACCGAGAACCGAACCGAACCGAAAATAACCGTACCGAACCGAGGAACCGAACAAGAACCGTTTAAATTCATATAAATCCATATATATATATATATATATTATCTTATTTTATCATATGTATTTTTTTACACTTTGTACATTATTTTATTCAAATAAAATCTATATACATTATGTATATGTCCATAAAACTACCATAAGTTATATGTCATATTGAGTTGCGAAAAATCATCCACTATTGAATGTTAATAGAATTTGAAACCTAAAAGAATATATTATTTTATTTTGGTACTACTTATGAGACACTAAAATCTAAAATCTCGTTTTTGAATAAATTGTTTGAAAAGAAAATTAAATTAATATACTCTTCCTATTACAAAATTTGATAGCCAACATGTCAAATATTTTAGTAAGAAAATCATTAAATATAACTTTATATGTGCTATATCCAAATCTCACCGGGAGATATTAATTTATTTGGACAAAATATATTTCTAAAATATTCTTTTATTTAACAAGTAACTATATTTAAATTGATTATTGTTCATGTACGTCTTATTACATGCGAATTTTTTGGCATATAAACGTTTATCATATAAATATTTCAAATTATATTATGATATTTTGCAACTAAAACATTATTATCACTTTTTG